TACAAAAATAAATAAATGAGTACAAAAATAAATAAATAAAATGCGGTGTGCCTACCGGAAATAACCATGTCGAGGTACTTCATCTTCCTGAGCGCTTCGTAGGTGAGCGTGTGCCCGTCCTCCAGGGCTTCCTCCACCTCCCGGCGCGCGCGCTCCTGCACGTGTGGGTGGACGGCCAGCACGTAGCCCAGGAAGCTGAGCAGCGTGCACGTCGTCTCGAAGCCCGACAGGAAGAAGAGCAGCACTTGCGCCGTGATTTCGTCGTCCGACAGCTCTGCGGGCGCAGTTCATTTCGAATATTAGTCATGAGAAACGAGGAAAATTAGGAAAGGAAAATAAAATGAAAAAGGGGAATGTCCCTGCAAATGCCAAAGGCGAAATACTGATACAATTACGACTACCTGTTATGAATTTGTCATCGACTTGTGATTAAATGAATTAAGAAAATGAAGAAACTATATTAAATAAACAAAATAGATTTGTTAAAAAATAGCTTCATTTTGAGTCTCTTCAGTTCCTTCCAATCGTCGCGACACGGAACCTCTACCCGTGAAGTATTGTATGATGTTGATTCTTTTAGTCTCGTACTATTAATTATTTTCACTGTTCGTACGAAATAGAGGAACGTATTACGCTCGGAGGAAAGTCGCCGGATGGCGACCGAAACGTCGGCACCTTTGTCATGGACGCGGCGTGTCCCGGACAGCCAAGTAAATACTGACTCCGGCCGCGGAAGCCTACGCTCTTACTGAAATAGAGTAACGTCTCCGCAATGAACCAAATAACAAAGAAATACTGATAAAACTAAGACTTATCTGTTATGAATGTGTCGTCGACATTTTATTTAGTGAAGTAAGCAAAGGAAGAAACGATATTAAATGAACGAAATAGATTTATTAAAAAATATATTTATTTTGAATCTCTTCACTTCTTTTCCACCCTCGCGACTCTAACCTCTACCCATTGGGTTATTGTATGAATGTTGGTTCATTTATCCTCATCCAATTAATTATTTTTTCTGTTAATTATTGTATACCTCATTAGATGGTGCTCCTATATACCATTTTTCATGTTACCTAAATTCTAACGATTTTATATTGAATATATAAAATGATAATTATCAAAAGGGTTCGTAGGCTTCCTAGGCTGGAGTCAATGCATTCTTGGCTATCCGGAATGAGCCGCTTGTCGGTCAAATGTGCTGACGTTTCGGCCATCTTGCTGTGGCATTCTTCAGAGCTATATTGTTGAGGAGCTGCTTGCAGTATAGCTCTGAAGAAGGCCTAGCAAGATAGCCGAAACGTCAACACATTTGACCGACACGCGGTTCATCCCGGATAGCCAAGAATGCACAGAATTATCATATGCTGCCCGAGACGTTCGATTTTCAAGGAGACCGTAATTTATGTTTTGATTCGAATATTTTTTACTCCATGATTAGTTATTATTTCATACACTATTCATATTCTCTAAAACTAGCCAAGATGAGGCCACGTTCCAAAAAGCAGAGAGTGCAAAGGGTGTACTCACGGGCCACGATGTTCTGTGCCTTGTGAGCGCCGCTGTGCAAGGGGGCCCTGGCGGCGAGTTCCTCGTCGGTGCC